GCATCAGAATTTTTCTGATTTTTCAGTTCAGAAAGTGAAGTGATGGGCAACTCGGCTGATAGACTAGACTGGTGCAGTCTCCTCCCAGGAGAGTAGTGGTGAGGTGAAGAAGGGTGACCTCTTCAGCTTAATACTGATGCAACTGGAAGACATGTGAAAAACACCTTAAATAAAGGCAAAGCTTGGTAACTAGAGAAGAGCAATATTCAGTTTTCCAGCATGGTGTTTGTAAGACCTCAGGTAGGTGATCCACAAAACTCTTGAGCTGTTTCACAATTTTGAAGGAAGCCTGTCTACTATTCTATATATGTAAACAAATAGACAAAATTGGAGTACACTAGAAGTAATTAATGAAGGTTCAAGGCTTAGCCCCATTCTTTCATTGTAAATGAAAGCCATCATGGCAGCACTATGCAAGACTGCTCTTGTTTTTATCATCTTATCTCCTCCTTCCCCCCCCAAAAAAAAGGGGGGGGAGGGGTAGGTACTTCAGCTACTTAAATGGATCTACATTGTGACAGGCATATGGCAGAAGATTAAAAATGAATAGCTTAAGCTGTCACTGCTGCCAAACCCTAGTTTGCTTTGCCCTTATATACTGAGCTAAAAATTGTGTTGTATTTGTACTAATTCAGAAGCAGGTCACAAGTTTTTGCCCTGCTGTTTGTTAGAGAAGTGTGGTTGCTACAATTGTACAGTTTTAATCCACTGCTGCATGTCTGTCAAACCCCTTTAAAATTTTTTTCATATGGGTTATAAGTATCTCGATCTTTTTGGTATTTAAAATTAATCTGCAGCATCTGTGACAATTACAGCCATCTGTTAGAATCGAAGTGAAATAGCCTTACGTTGAAATCAATAGAGTTGACTGCTTTGTCTAGCATAGTCAGTGCTAGTGAAACGTGCTACACTGGCATGTATAGTAAGAAGTCTTTTTTTTTTTTGAGGTACTTCTAAGGGGTAGCGGCTAACAGAATCAATGATTGTCTCTCTAAAATTACTTTTGCATCCTTGTTATTTTGGCATTGCTTTCCTACTACTAAGGAGTTATCTGAATCTCGAGGTGAAATTGAGGTTAATGTTAAATATAGGGGAAGGTGATCTCAGGCTACTGTGTTCTTGTCAAGTTACTCTATTTGGAACAACTGATGTTTCTGATAAGCAGTGAGAGGCTCAAAAAATAAACAACTATGCACCCTCTCATTGCAATTCCCCATTCAGATCCATAAGGTATCAAAAATGAGATCAAAAGGAGTCTCTACTGGCTATGCATAGCAAGATTCCCAATTTGGAAGTAACACTTGTATAATAGGTGGTACAGTTGGAATGTGCATACAGTGAACACTTTTTCCAAACAACACTGCAGTAAGTTTACATACATTTGAATTGCTTTGTATTATTTATAATTTTGCTTTTTAGTAAAGCATTCTAACTTGAAAAGCTTAATCTGAGGCTAATTTCTAAGTTGTCCTTTATTTAGATTTTTACATCTTAATTTTTGGGAGGCAAATACAGTTGCTGTTGTAAGGAATGAGGAATTCTAAACCTTGAGAAAACATAATTGTTGGAATATACTATGTAAAGTGGTTTGCAATTTAAAAAACACCAAAACTAGAGTTGCTTGTGCAATACAAATTAAACCATCTTCTACATACAAACATGGCTGTTCTTACTGCATAACAAAAAGCTTTATTTACCACCATTGAGTGGATAGTTCTCCAAAGTTTTCTTTTTAAAAGTGAGGTCAGACCTTTTTGCTTGCCCCCTGTTTGAACAGAAGTTTGTGGGTTGTTTTTTTTTTTTTCTTTCTCCTTACAGAGCTATAAATTCATTTGCATCTTAATATTGTGACACAGAGTAGGGTTTTTCCTTTCTATATACTAGAAACCTGAGGCACAGTAGCCAGGACTGTCATGTATTCACTAACCTAAGTTCAGAAACTTTCTTAGCATTGCACAGGTACTCCTTGTGGAAGGAAGAGTTCAGTTTCATTGAGTTGAGATCAGAGTTTCTTTCTGCAGTTCCTTGCCTGATTCACTTAGACCTAAAACTTCTGCAAACAATAGTATAAGTATAGGGGTCTAATAGATGAAAGGCTTGCTTCCTTCCAGAGAAATTTGTCCTAAATAGAGCGGAGAATTTGGGGAAAGTGGAGAAGGAAGTGTATAATGAACTCTATTCTTATACTAGATATACATGGGTTGAATGGATAACATTAACTTATTCTGTTTTCTAAAATGCAATTCCCCTTCCCCCCCCCCACCACCTCTTCAACCACAGCAATAGCTGAACAAAAGAAAAAACAAAAAAACTTAAATTTCATCTTGGACTACATTGTTCTAGAATTAATTAGCAGTGTTGAAGCCTTTGTACTTACTGTATGGGTTTCTGCTATTTAAACCATGACTCAGTGTTAGTAAATGGTTCCCTTCTCCACAGAGCTGTAAGAGAAGGTGCTGACCCCCATTTTGTTGTTAATTTCATCAGCTGTGAGCTTAAAATAGAGAAGTGTAGGCTCAGCTTCTAAATTCAGTTCATCTAGCAGGAAGTGTTATCTGATCAAGAACTAATGCCTGTCTGTAACTACCCTAATCTTCCCCTCTTCTCTTCGTTGTTCCTTCAGCAGTCCTGCAATTCATGTCTTCCAGCCAAGTTTCTGTCTTGTTCTGTAGTATGTTAGCAAGCTCTTTGAGACAGCATAGGAGAAACAGTTTTTGTTCTTCCTTTCTATGTCTGTGAGCAAAATGCGATTTTCCTCTAGCCTGATTTATTTTTATTTTTGGAAATGACTGAACTGTATCTACACCAGCCAAACTTCTGTCTGAGGCAGACTCTTCAATGCAGAAGGGAGAGTAACTCTGCCACAAACGCTGTCTATTTTAATGTTAATTGTGTGCTTCTAATATTTTGACGGACTCAGGATTGGAGAGGGTAAAGGAGAAGACTGTAAGGTAGAGTCAACTCACTCTAGTCAGTAGTTTAACTGCAATTCAGTTGATTAATGTGGATTATTTTAAACTCTTAGTAATTTGTGTGTGTGCAGGCCAGAAGCGAGCTCCTAAACGGGGAGAACAGCAAGGATGGAATGACAACAGGGGAGCAGAAATAAAACAGGACAAATCTGAGTGGAGACCCTCTTTCAGGGAATACCGTTCCTATGAAACTGAAAGACAAGCGGAATTCACAGTAGAAAAGTATGTATCCTCTAAGGAGGTGTAAGGTGCCTCATAGAGGGTCTGCACAGAGGTGGGAAGGGGAAGACTGAACTTGAATAGATTTAGTAGCCAGAGGTGATTTGAAGGCATAGTTGTATTATTAGTGTGTAGATTTGGTGTGAGATTACTGAGGCAGTTCACATCTGTCAGAGCTGTAACTTCAGTTTCCCTGCAGATTGATTTGGAGTTGCTTTTAGTTGTGTTGTATTTCTAACACTTAACAAAAGTGTTAAGGTCTGGAAACTTAACCCTTAGTCTGCAGCACAAACATTATATTTTTGAATTCCCATAACTCCAAGTTCTATAGAACATGTGGTGCAGATTCAAATTAGAACAGACTTTACAGTTCAAACTCAAAATATACGTTTGTTATATGCCTACTACTTTAACAATGAATGCAGATCCGTTTTGCATTCTCTGTAGGTAACAGAATAATTCCATCTGAACTCTTAAGTATTAAGAGCGTGGCTGTTCTTACTTTCCATCGCAATGGTTGGTATTTTAAAATTCCAGAGACCTTGTTAGCAGTTGCATATAAATATGGGTTTGAACAGTGGGCTTATTGCCTAATAGTCACCAAAATTATGACACTAAGTGTTTTTTTTGTTTTCACTTTTTTCAATAAACAGCTGAAGTTTCTATTCCTGTTATATGTAATCATTCCCTCTTTGTGTTCACTTTATACCTATTTCTAATGACAAAACTACAACAAAAATCTGACTATAAAACTTCTTTTTAGACCAATTGAAAGATTTGACCATGAAAGGCCAATAAGAGGACGCAGAGGAGGAAGAGGTGGAATGCGAGGTAGAGGAAGAGGTGGTGGAATAAATAGAAGTTTTGATGGCTTTGACCAAAGAGGAGAACGGGGATTTGAAAGAGAAAATGGGAATGATAAAACGTAAGTGTTCTCATATGTTTGTTACCTAGTGTACAAGTAAACAGTACACTCAGCACTTTAATAGTATGTCAAAGTGTTCTGGCTCTTTTATACTCAAGTGAGTTGTCAAAAAGTCAGTATTGGTTTTAGTTTGAGGCCCTGATGGAAGAAATAAACTCTTAAACTTAAACACTGTTCCTCTCCCTAGAGGAATGAGAACAGATAACAAAAAGGGTAGAAGTGGAGCTTGCAACTGGGGAACAGTTAAAGATGATGAGGCACAATATATACTTGTGCCCACCATAGATCACTTTCTGTGGAATGGATATGGTCGTGGTTTCAAAGTTTCATGGATATTCTGAGCTTTATTCCTCTTGCTCTTCATTAATTGTGATGAGTGTAGTTTTACAGTTTTCTGAACTCGTGTCTCCTTTGTGCTGGTGAGATGAAATGTAGCCAAAAGCATGGTGACATTCCTTAAATGAGGGTATGCCAAAATCTTCTTGATGGGGGCCAGGAAACCTTAACTGGAATAAATTATGACCCCTCCCCCAAATATTCATGTAAGTGGGACTCTGGTATTTATTGACATTGCTCCAGTGCCAATTAAGAACTGAAGCCTTGTCAGTGGGCATAAGATCCAGTCCTTTTTTCTCAAGTCTTATGTATCATGTCTAAATTGTAGATGGCAAAGCTGTGATGCAATTCAATGTAGTTTTGGAGATAATATTTAACTGACCATGCTACTGAAATACATTATAAAGCATGTAAGGATTAGTGACAGAATTTGGAAGTTTATTAATGATCAGCTAGGTTAAGAACCTCAATTCTGTATTTTTCTTGCTGGCTTCTATTTGGGTTTGCAAAAAAAAAACTCACTAGAAATCTTTTTTTTCCATTCTTTGCACCTCAAAAATACGCTTTCAAAAGTTACTTGAAAGTAACTTGTTCTAATATGTGGCTAGACGAACTTTTCACAAGCAGGTTTTGATGAAACTGAACTTTCATTTAAAAAGTTCTCTGTCCACAGAGAAAAGACAGAGCTTTCAGTAGAGATCTTTGGCCACATACACATTCATGCCCAAAATCATAAACAAAATTATATTTTTAAGCATAACTTAGAAACATGACATCTGGCAGTCAAATGGGTAATAGTTTTGGGTTTTGATGTTCCAAGTCCTGAAAGGTTGCACTGCCTTTCATCTCTTACTAAAAGTAAAAGATTTGTTAGGTAGTTGTGCTTTTCAAAATGGGAATCAGTTATGCAAATACAATAACACAAAGTAGCTGACCAACAGCACAAAGCTAGCTTGTGTAAATACACTTTTTAGGATGTCAAGGAAGATTGTGTAAACTTCATAAGGAATCTTAACTTTAAACTTTATTTTCTCTCCCTACCTGAAACTTTTAGTTCAGTAGCATCAGCTTCACAGCTTATGAGATAGCAATACCTTGTGTAATGTGATGAATCTGGTAGAAGTGACATTAATTGGGATCGTCTAAATAAGGCAAGAGATGTTTTTAAATTAATTGTGCTTAATGATGCATTGAGGCTAAAAGGTATTAACTTTACGAAGTGTATGCTTATCAGTGTAATGAAAGTAAGCATGCTATTGCTCTTATTTGACAGTGAACTACTGTCAGTGTTACAGAAAAGATAACTTCAACATCAAGTATGAATTTTTCTGTTTTAATAGTTGAAAATATACAAAACCAAAAGTCAGTGTACTGTAATCAAGCATTGCCATTAGTTTTCATCATTGGAATATACTGTCTTCATGTGTGCTTTTTCACTTCTTTTGGGGGGAATAAAAGTACATAGAAATAGTTTTCCTAATAGTTCTTATTCTTAGTCACTCATCTAGTCACTTAATATATCAAATTCCTCCTTATAACCCCAGAATTCTATTATTAATTAAAATGATTAATTTTATGCCTGGAAAAAATGATGGATTGATCTACAAGTTTTTTTCCCCAATGTGACCCATGAAGACTTCTTGTTTTTGTTTACTGTTTTAGTGAGATGGAACAGACTGCTCCAATGGAAGAGACTGCAGAAACAGCTGAGCAGCCAGGGGCACCTGAAAGAGAACCTCTGAACAAGTATAGTCTGACTGAAATATTTTCTTTCTAAATGCAAAGAAAAAAAAACCTGTTACTGGTATTCTTGACCTCTATTGGAAGGTATACTTGAAATCTGAACTGGGAAATTTTGCTAGTGCAAATATTTAAAAATAGAAAACTCCCTGTATTTCTGTTTTAATCAACAAAATGAGTCCCTAACTCTAAAGCATTTAAATGCTGCCGTAATAATAACAAAAACTTTCAAAGTGTTGGTAGTCTTTATGTACAGAAAGTCTAGCTTAATTTAAACATCTGCAAATTGCATTTGGTTGATCAGTGATGCTTATGTTCCTAAGGTTTGACTACCGGGGGGGCCTGCATATTGTCTGTTACCTGTTTAATTTGGATAATTTGTAAAAAGCTATCCTGCCTTTCTTAAGGTACCCTATAAGAAAAAGGTATTCAAGGTACCTGTGCAATCAAAAACATTTAGAATACACTAACAAATTCTCAAGGGAGTAATTGATGAATTACTAATACCATATAAATGCCTATCATTCATGAAGGGCCTCTGTAACTTAGCTAAATATTAACATAGCTATTCAGCTTTTTAAAAAACTTATGATGCCATTACTCATTTTAGAGGCTTGTATCGGGTTTCCCCTTCGTGGTAGCTGAAATCATCTCCAGCAGTTCAAGCTCTCTGTAAATGTGTCCTGACATCAGTTCTGTGTGGAACATAGGACATGAAAAGTATACTTAGTACCAAAGGCATCTAACAGTATCTGCCAGTTGGCTTTAGTTCTTTTCACTTTTTCAAAGGTCACTAAGTGTTTAGTCAGACTGTGAGCCCTTCTGAATGACTTTATTCCTTTTCATGTTTTTAAAAAAGCTTAACATAGGAATATTCCACTGAAATCTATAGGATTCAAAAATGCAAGTAACTTACATGAAACAAACTTCTGCATAGTATTTCAGTGCTGTAAATATTCTGAAGAATCTCAAATCTGTATACAAAATAAGTGCAAGTGTTATATACCTCATTGCAGTTACTTCTGGGGCTAGTGTCAGCTTGGTGACTGTATTTTAAAAAGGGAATGTTGTGCTAAGTAGTGCCTGTATAATTAGGGATGGTTATATGGAGTACTCTTTAACAAGGTGGTGCTATATATATTTTTATTATTAATATTTAAAGGCAGAAGCTGGTGGAATACAGTTTTCAGGTATGATATGCTTTAAAAAATGAATTTTATAGTCTTGCCTGCTTAGGTTGCCCTTGCTCTCCAGAGTTGCTGTCTTCTGGCAGGTAGCATTCACCACCAAAAGTTTCTAGCCAGGTTACTTTCCACTTTCTCCACAGCCTCAAGATTGTGTGGATGTGTTTTGTGGTTGGGGTGGGGGGGTGGTTCCTCCCCCCCTTCTACTGCCAGGATTGTTCTCATTTTGACTTCTTAAATGCAGCAGCTCTGGGGAATCTTTCTCTTCTACTGTTTAGTTGCAGTTGTGTGCTTGCATTGAGATAAGAGATGAAAACCTTGTGTGTTTTTTTTTTTTTTCATGTCTCCCTCCCCCATTATAACTGCTTCTAAAAAGAAAAGAAACACCTGGAAATTGGGAATAATCTATCTGACTGTGTAGAGCTACTGTATAGCTTTCTGGTGTTCTCCTGGCTAGCTTTAGTGCAACTCCACAAAAACATCTGCAAACTTCTATAAACTACTGGCTCTTGCCTTTAGGACTGTCTACATTGCTGTTCTTGAGCTTATGTTTGCAAAGTGTTGCTGGACAACAGTTTCTTTTATACTTGCATAATGTAAACAAAGTTATAATTTCAAAGATCTTCAAATTCTCTTGACTCTTCAACATCTCTGCTGTTTGTAGCATCCCAAACTGCATGCTTGTCTTTTTTTTCCCTGCAAGTAATAAGTATCAAATAATACTAGTTCAGCTGTCCTCACAGCTGCTTGAGTTTCTGTTGGACTTGTCTTTGCAGTGCAAACAACATAAATTTGTGTTGCCTGCGGCCTTCAAATGAATAGATTCCCCCCCCCCAAGCATGACACAGTCTAAACAATTTCTTATCAAAGGTATTTGCTGAGTTAGTATTCTGTGAATTTTCTTTCAATCTCAGTGACACAGGAGCTATGTATTCTTCAGGTCATTTAATAGGAGGCTTTCAAAATCTGTCTCCAAGTGGTCTTTTTACCTGTCTGCCTTTTTAAAAGTGATATAAAGCTATCCTTAGAGTGGACCAAATCTTAAGTATTTGGCTCAATGTTTTTCTTCTGTAGTTAACTTGTACTGTTGTAGCTTGGTTTTATCTTACCTTGTGTAACTTTAGAGTTTCTTAAACTGGTGGTTGTAATGCTCTAAGAGCCATGGTTCCTGTAAATGATACTTAATGGGA